TAGCATCCATGTTTTATTTGACAGTAGTGAGTCTATCTCATCATTTACAGCCTCTCTCCAGAAAATAGCATCAGGTGATGATAAAGCTTCTTGCACCGTAAGAGGAATTTCTTCCACATTGTAAAGATAATAGTCAGGGCCAAAATCTTTTTCAACTCTAGCTCGTTTACTTCTTCTTCGTTGGATTTGAAAATTTTCTTTTTCTTGAAAAACTTGAGAAGGAGTAGAAGAGCTAGGCATAGACAAAATATTTTCAAAAATTATTTGACCCCTACTATTTCTAGATTTGAAAGGAAATTTATTTTCATGAAAAATAGCATCACCTGATTCAAAAATAATATTATTTTTCATATCAAAAAATCTGTAAGTTGTACTATGCAACGCATACCCAAGAAAAGCATAGGTGATAGCTCATTCACCCAATTTAGGTCGTTTAGGATCTGCAAGCCTCACAAAAGCTAAACAACCCCAAATCCTCAAATAACCTAGATTTGGTTTATGCCCCCGCCACAACTCATAAGGTACAATTTTAGTCTTTTTTTGTGGCACTCTATTTATCACATGGCAAGCTGCCAAAATAGCCTCGCCCCAAAGATTTGAGGGAGCACCTGAATCAATAAGCATAGCATTCGTCAAGTCAATTAATGTTCTATTTTTTCTTTCAGCTATGCCATTAGATGAAGGTGAATATGGTGGAGTAGTCGCATGAATAATTCGCAAAGACTGAACAAAAGAGTTGAATCCAAAAGATTCATACTCTCGACCTCTATCACTTCTAATTCTTTTAATCGTTTTACCGAATTGATTTTCCACTTCAAGAAGGAATTCTTTAAATTTCTCAAAAGCATCACTTTTATTTTTTTAATAAATATAGGTTAGTGCATTTTGAAAAATCATCAATAAAAGTGATAAAATATCGGTTACCACCCCGAGTTAAAATTCCTTCAAACTCACACAAATCAGTATGAAATAATTCTAACAATTCGATATTTTTTTCAACACTTTTATGAGGCCTCTTGGTAATTTTTGCTTTACTGCAAACTTCACATTTCTCAAATTTTTTTGTCACTTTAGAAATTAATCCTAACCTACTTATGATTCCCACATATTTACTGTTAATATGACACAAGCGAGCATGCCAAAAATTAATAGAAGACAACATGTAAGTGGTGTCATTGTAATAATCATAAAATTAATCAGCAAATAAATTTAAGAGATAAAAGTGACGTTTATACTCATCTGTATTATAGGAAGCCACTTTTGCTTCATGTGCCTCGTAGTCTTCATCATTCATCTCCTCGGTTGGGATTTTGTTTGGATTCTTCTCGGTAAGAACATATGCAACTTTCAATATAGCGATCCCGGTTGTCCCTTAACGTTTTGTTGTATTCCGGACTCGGTTCCTTGGAGTTGGTAGTTGTATCTATCTTGTTGTCGTCCTTTAATTTCATTTGTTTGAGTTTTAGGATGTGTTGGGCATGTTTTGAACAGGTGGGTTGAACCTTGGTCTAAAATCTTGTTACCAGGTTTTTGGTCGTTCCGCTCGAGCGGGCCTTGTTGCGTTCGAGCGGAGATTGCACACTTCCAGTTTTTCGTGTCCCTGCAAAACTTCTGCAGGTGTGATTTTTACGCTCGAGCGGGTTTCTTTACGCTCGAGTGGTAGCGCTCGAGCGGGTGCTTTGGCGCTCGAGCGGGTAGTACTTTTTGCTGTAAGTTCTGGGAGGGGAAAACCTATGCTCGAGCAGACTGGTTTTCGTGCTTGAGCGGGTGTACTTTATTCTTGTGTATTGGCACTCCAGCGGGCCTTCTTGTGCTCGAGCGTACCTAGTTTTTTGTTCTTGACACTCGAGCGTTGTGTTCTTCGCTCGAGCGGGAATGTCGTATATCAGTTGGCAGCTGGGCATTTTAAAATCACTTTTTACATTCCCTCTCTCTCTCTCTTACTTTCTAAAAAGACATTTTGAGAGCTCCTCTCTCTAGAAACGCCCTTCTCTCTAGGGTTTGATCTAGTTAGAGTGTCTCACTATCCTCTGGCCTTTGTAAAAAGCGTGTGGATCGTCGAGGGCTCCATTTTGATCCGTGGATCTTTGAGTTTGGAGCATTTTTGTTTTCTTCTCCTTCTCCATTTGAGCTCTAACTTCAAGGTAGGGATATCTTACTCTTTCTCATAAGTTTTACCTTTGAATTTTAGCATTTTGATGAGTTGGGGGTTGTTGGGTAATTTTGAGAAAGTTTGGGCCTTTGTGTAATTTTACAAAAGTTAGGGTTGTGTTTATATAAACGCATATGCATGTTTGGCATAGAGAAATGAGGTCAATATTGGTCTATTGGTAAATAAATGGAACCTTAGGGTTGTGATGTTGATTATGGGAAATGCTTTAATTACATTGATGAATTAATTGATATAATTAATTTGACGAAAAGAGGAATTAAGTTGAGAATGTTGAGGATTGGAGGTGTATGGGATTAAAGGGTGTAGTTAGATTCGTTTATCGCTCACTTAGTTTAAATGTTGATTATATATCCATTTGGTGCATTTATTTTCAGCATAGAAATAACTGCTTTGGGCTATCGGTGGAGGATAGTCTTGATTGTTGTAGACACTGCATGATGATTAGGCAAACTAAAACTAATCAATTGAGTATGCTATTGAATATAGCAACTGGAATAATACATTAATTCTATGTATTGATTGATTGTATATGATCTATGTTTATATACATGTGTTGTGTGGGAGGAGATAGGGGATGTACTCCACGGTTTAGGGGAAGCCTTGTCTTGTTATCAGTGTCCGGATTTTGTGTGACATTGATACAGCACTACAATGTGTATCAAGTGTTGATTATGGAAGTGTTTGAATTGATTTGATATAGCACTATAATGTATATCGTTATCAATTGTAAAGTATAGAAGTGATTCTATGTTATGTTGATAAAACACCGAAATGTGTATCTTTCTAAAAGTGTGAGAATGGTTTATGTGTTACTGATACAACATTAAAATGTGTATCCCTTAGAAGTTTTGAAAGTGTTTTAAAGATGAGTCTAAATCTCATTAAATTATTTGGCTAGATGTTGAGCCTTGTTTTCAAACTCAAAGTTGGAAAAGATAAGGGAAATGAAATGTAACATGGGCTTAATGTCATGAAATCGGAATGTGATATATGTGGATGTATCTGTGTTGACCATCTATCAACTGCTAATCTTTTAGTCATTGTTCATGGCTGGTTTAGTATATTTCTACTGGGCTGTGGCTCACCCTTTATGGGACATCATTTTCAGGTACATGTAGCATGCCACCTCCAAGGACATACCTTGGGAGGCTAGAGGCATACTGACTGCTTGTTATTTGCTACCTTCTTTTGATGTATTACATCTAAATTCAAGCCAAGGGCTTAATATGTATTGAGTTAGCACTCTTCTTTTTGTAACCAAGTGTTAACTTGGAAAGCTATAAGCCTGTAGGGCATTTGCTTTTGTCGTTAACATGTAATCTTTTGTAAGAACTATTTTGATTTAATGGAAAGGTGGTTGGTTTCTTTGTATCAATGCATGCCTAATGAGATGGGTTTTATTTATTATTTTGAGGGCGTTACATTCAAAAGGCTAAGGTAAAAAAAGAACTTTTCCTTTCCACCTCTTAAAATGAATTCCTTTGAACTTGAAAGGCTTGTTGAGATCTCCAATTCCATCATTGATTTTTTCTGGTACTTGTTCCATGATTGATCTCCTTAAAATTGTTGGTGAAAATACCAGAAAAAATTATATTTTATTGATAAATGATGCAAAGAAAATGAGATACAAATAGATCAGGCTGAGGCACGGATATCTCGTTTTCTTTAAGGAGATCAAGCCCACTACGGTAGGAAGAACCCCAATACCGATGTAGCAGTCACAAAACTATGACTTGTCCCCTCCATGGTACAACAGCCCGACCACTTGTCGTATCGTTCAGGCCAACTCTACATAAGATGGTGAACCCAAAGCTCCACCAATAAAAACACCCTTCTTTGGTAGTAATCTCTCTTGTATAGAAAATAGTTGATGATATATAGATAGAAAAGAGTAGACTATTTATAGGCCATTAGGACTTTACAATTACACCAAAATAATGACCATTAACCAAGATGAGAGGTTACATAAAATAATGACCACTAACCAAGTTCATGAATTCTATTTAACCTCCATTCATGACCAAGAGGTTACCAAAGTAATGAAACCCCATTTATGACCAAGATATATAAATAAAAATATAAATAAATAAATAAAAGATATTAAAATGGTCCAACAGTTCACATTCCAACGAGGGGGTGTGAATGTGAAATTCCTACTTAATTTGTGAAAGTGATTTCAGCTTGAGTGGCTGACCAATAATCATTTTTTTCATTCTATTGAAGTATTCGCGATCTTATTTTTTGTGCCAAAGCTAGAAGAATTGAATTTCTTCCTCCTCTATGCACCCCTCAATATTCTACACTGCACAATTATTATGTTAAAATAAGTCCAATGGAGGGCCAGTACACTTCTCACAAATATTCTAATTTGCTAATTGGCGTATACTTAAGAGTTACTCTTAGTCCTATCTGCGGTTTGGCATAATCTAATCATATTATAAAATAATTTAAATATCCAATTAGATTATGAAAAATTTGACATGATGTAATTTGAATCCAGACCTGTATTCGGGTTCTTAGTGTCGGTTAGTGTGTGCTTTGCAATTAATGTATATATGAGTTGTGTGGCCATTTCAATGCATCCTTGGTGTTCACCATGCTTTAAACTACTATATATTTCACCATTTATTTTTAGATCCATCACATGCATAAGTAATTACATTGAAGTTCCCTCTATGTAACTCTTTTTATAAAAAAAATTATTTATTTATTTTTTATGGCCATTGTTTCTTGATAAATTCACTGCCCTTTCAATTTCATCTTCCCTTCGACTTCCAAATTTTATGCCCCCATTGTTTTTTGCGACCTTTTCTACTCCTAGAGAAGAATGTACAGAATATCAAGCACTAGTCGATTCTCTGATGAATTTTTGGTCAACTTGTCACCGACCGTGAAATCTCCAGCTACTGATGACGATGACCTGCTGCAACCTGTGTCTGATTATCGGATTTTGGATGGCAACAAGAAGGAAGTCCCTTCTCCTTCTCAGCAGCAGCAGCACAAGAAGTCTAGAGGGGAGAATGTTATTCACCTCATTCCACTTTTTCTGCTTCTTTGTGCTTTGATTCTTTGGTGGTTCTCTGTTCCTCTTAATAAAATTTAATCACCTCTCAAACAACCTAACCTAACCAAGAACTTCTTTTGTTTTTCCCTCTGTTATTGTCCTGGTGTTGGAATGAATTTATCTTTTTCTTTTTATTGTATCATGAGATGATGTATCACTGTTTCATTGTTTTGGCTGTTGTTTCCGAATGATTAAAGTCAGAAGATACTTGAAGTTGAAACGTATTTTTTAGTAGACCATTTTATTTTTTTTATGAATCTTTAATTTTTAATTTTATTTTTGTGTGCAGAAAACATTTTCCTATGATTATATCCTGAAAACTAACGGTGATATTGTTGGACAATCTTCACTGTATTTAAATAAATTAATTCTGTTTGTGTACTAAATGACAAACAGAATACAAAAGAAAAATAGGAAATGAGAGATAGTTTGATTACAAAAATCAAACCAATAAATAAAAATAAATAAATAAAAAAAAATTTATTTTGTTACAAAAACAAAATCAAAATCTGATTTAAATATATATAAAAAAATAGAAAATAAATTAATAACTTACTTGATTAATTCTTGAATAATATTATGATCAAGTCTAGTGTTCAACACTGTGTCCTTAAGATAGATTCGTCCTATCTACGGTACTTTCAGAATATGGACGTCTATCTCCTAGGATAAAATGATCAATCAACGAATAAATACAGTACTACAATTTATTCTCACAACAAACACACTAAGTGTTTATACTCTTTCTCACAAGAAAATAATGCAGCAATATTTAGTTTTATGACTTACTTTTTTTGCTTGTCGTGAATAATTTCCTAACCATGACGTGTCTATTGCATAGGCTGTGAATGCTAATAACAAAGATTTTTTTACGGTTTGCAATGTTAGTCGTACATAATAAAACTTTCTACGACGTGCATATGGCATGCCATTAATACATTAACTATACACGACAAGTGGACACCAACTGTTAAAAATATTGAACATTTCACAATGCACAAAAAACCAGCCGTTAAAAATTACACTTTTCATGACCCACAAAAAGGCAACCGTATAAAATATTATACTTTCCACGACACGCAATTGCTATCATGAATGGTACCATTAAAAAAATATATATATAGCGCCAAAATAAAAATTTTGAGCGCCAAACACCAAAATATTAAAAAAAATAAAAAAATTATACAATGGATCTTTGGTTCTCAGTTTTTTTAGAGAGAAAAAGGGCGAAACAAAGGAGAAAGAAAGAGGAGAGAGTATAAAGAGAAGGGGGTTCGATATATCTATGCAATCGATGCGAATGTCATTGATTGTTCTCTGGAGTAGATTGATTGTTATTGTTGAAGATTGCACACCACCGATTCTGTATAAGATCAAAATCAAATCGACTTTCTTATTATGAGCTAGTTTGACAAGCTGCGTTGCTCTTCCAATCTCAGCCACTTCATTGCTGGCCTTCTCGTCTTCATTCTTTATCATTCCTTTCAATTAATCTCTAATTTTTTGATTCCTATACATCCCTAATTCTTCATCTTCTTCTTGTTCTTCTTCATCATCAAACCTTTGCTTTGCTTACATTCCTTTTTTTTCCTTTTTCCTTCGTGGATCTCAAAGATTCAATCTCTAATAACTTTCTTGATTGAAGAGATGAAGGGAACAAAATCGAGAAGAGATGGAGAAGAGATAGGATTCGAATGAGCAAAACCGCAGGAGAAGGGTTTCAATCTCTCTCGATATTGCATTCTCTACCCAATGTTTTCTTTGAATTCGAAGGTTTGTATTCCAACGTTGATTAATTAGATATTTTGTTATTTTTGTGAAGTGAAGGTGCACTCTCTACTTAATGTTTTGATGTTCATTTTTGGGATTCTTTGTTGAAATGAATGATATGAGTTTTCTGAAGTACATAACTAGTAGAGCAAACTGAGCCTTTTTTAAAATTATTAAATTTAAATTTAAATTTTGTTCATTAATTGATATCTGTGAAGCCTCAAGTTAGAATTAAGAGGAGCAAATAAACTATCTTCTAAAATCACAAATCAGAGTAGTGGGATTCATGTAAATAGTAACACTCTGAAGGTACTCTGTAGAAAATGCCTGACTTCTAACATTTTGTACCTGAATTTAAGAATTGTGCAATAAAATGCCATTCCTGTTTGCTTCTTTTACTTGATTTTTAGACTGCTTTCCTGTGCTGTACTAGTTGCCTTTCTGAATTGGTTCCATGGTGGTGGTCAACGTGAGTGATTTTGATGTACATTCTTACTGACCTATGCAGAATGTGCATCACTGTCGAGCATTCCTCGTGGTAAATGGTATTGTAAATATTGCCAGAACATGTTCCAAAGGGAGAAGTTTGTGGAGCATAATGCTAATGCTGTAGCAGCCGGAAGAGTTTCAGGAGTTGATCTTATTGAACAGATAACCAAGCGCTGCATTCGAATTGTCAAAAATCCAGAAGATGCTGAGGTCATTGCATGTGTTTTGTGCAGGTACTGGTTACGCTATGCAAAATTAATTATCAATCCTTAGATTTTCTTCATGATTTTTATTGCTGTTCATTCTGAGTCTGACATTGTGCTTATATTAAACTTTACCTTTAGTTAATATCATCCTTTTTTTTTGTCCTTCATTTGTTGGTTTATCTAGAGGTTGATGTTTTTCAATCTGCTTTATGCAGAGGTTATCAGTTTAGAAAATCTGGATTTGGTCCACACACAGTAATAGTTTGTGATCAGGTACTCTCTGTTCTTTATGTTAGTTCCTTTTTTTTTTAATTTATTTATTTTTTCATCTGAGTTACAAAGTGATTTGAATCATAGTTGTCAAATTATGAATCGAAATTTCCTTTTTGTTGAATTGTGAATCGATTTGGGTTGCAAACCGTAAAGATTCTGTTTTAATTTTTGATACATAAAAATATATCTAAACATATAGATATTAAAGATACACTATAAATAAATGAATTGCTTCTTTTAAATGATGGACATGGGTGTAATAGGGAAGATGCTTCTGTCTATGTTTAGTTTCATATATTACGAATAACAATCTTTCATTGTTGCATGACACACTTTGTGCATGTTACATGGTTCCTATCTTTCTAGTTGATATAGGTGTATGTTTAATGGAACTCGACAGAAATGGGGTCTCTTGGTGAAGGATCCATCAAATTTATAAACCTTTGGACACAAGGATACATAACACTAATGTTGTGTTTGGATCTTGGATTTGTGAAGGGAAAAGGAAAGGGAAGAAATTTGTGGAAAAATTTTGCTTCTATTTCATTCACTTTTCCCTTCCCTTTTTCTTTTTCCTCTACAAATCCAAGAGTTTCCAACTTTTGTTCTCCTATACCCTAGGGTAAAACTTGTGTTCTTAGCTTACAGGCACTTAATATGAGTACCTCATTCATCTCAAAGTCTCAATATGTCAGGAAAATGAACATATTAAGATAGTATCAGTGTCATGTTGTGTTCAACAGAGTTTGATTATGCATTTTGAGGTGTCCCTGTAACATAATTCTAGGCACTTTGGAGAAACTAAAGAGGCTATTCTTGCAAGGATGGATGGATGCCCTTATGATGAGTGTTATGCATCAAAGCTCCAGTTCCATTGACTGTTTTGTATTAAAGCTTGAGTCATGACAGTAAAATTTTGCCTTACTAATCAAATTGATCATTCAACAGTGTGTTCTGCTTATGTAGTTAAATGATTGATTTCTATTCTTATTGTAGTTTAGCCAGTGTGAAACCTAGTGCTTTGATTTCTAGAGTCTTGAACCTTGAATTTGATTGGTTTCACTATGCTGTATTTACATCGTGGTTTCTTGATATCCAAAATTTTGCTTTTGCCTTAGTTAAATGTTTCTATGATGCATTCTGCTTATCTAGTTAAATGATTGATTTCTATTCTTATTGTAGTTTAGCCAGTGTGAAACCTAGTGCTTTGATTTCTAGAGTCTTGAACCTTGAATTTGATTGGTTTCACTATGCTGTATTTACATCGTGGTTTCTTGATATCCAAAATTTTGCTTTTGCCTTAGTTAAATGTTTCTATGATGCATTCTGCTTATCTAGTTAAATGATTGATTTCTATTCTTATTGTAGTTTAGCCAGTGTGAAACCTAGTGCTTTGATTTCTAGAGTCTTGAACCTTGAATTTGATTGGTTTCACTATGCTGTATTTACATCGTGGTTTCTTGATATCCAAAATTTTGCTTTTGCCTTAGTTAAATGTTTCTATGATGCATTCTGCTTATCTAGTTAAATGATTGATTTCTATTCTTATTGTAGTTTAGCCAGTGTGAAACCTAGTGCTTTGATTTCTAGAGTCTTGAACCTTGAATTTGATTGGTTTCACTATGCTGTATTTACATCGTGGTTTCTTGATATCCAAAATTTTGCTTTTGCCTTAGTTAAATGTTTCTATGATGCATTCTGCTTATCTAGTTAAATGATTGATTTCTATTCTTATTGTAGTTTAGCCAGTGTGAAACCTAGTGCTTTGATTTCTAGAGTCTTGAACCTTGAATTTGATTGGTTTCACTATGCTGTATTTACATCGTGGTTTCTTGATATCCAAAATTTTGCTTTTGCCTTAGTTAAATGTTTCTATGATGCATTCTGCTTATCTAGTTAAATGATTGATTTCTATTCTTATTGTAGTTTAGCCAGTGTGAAACCTAGTGCTTTGATTTCTAGAGTCTTGAACCTTGAATTTGATTGGTTTCACTATGCTGTATTTACATCGTGGTTTCTTGATATCCAAAATTTTGCTTTTGCCTTAGTTAAATGTTTCTATGATGCATTCTGCTTATCTAGTTAAATGATTGATTTCTATTCTTATTGTAGTTTAGCCAGTGTGAAACCTAGTGCTTTGATTTCTAGAGTCTTGAACCTTGAATTTGATTGGTTTCACTATGCTGTATTTACATCGTGGTTTCTTGATATCCAAAATTTTGCTTTTGCCTTAGTTAAATGTTTCTATGATGCATTCTGCTTATCTAGTTAAATGATTGATTTCTATTCTTATTGTAGTTTAGCCAGTGTGAAACCTAGTGCTTTGATTTCTAGAGTCTTGAACCTTGAATTTGATTGGTTTCACTATGCTGTATTTACATCGTGGTTTCTTGATATCCAAAATTTTGCTTTTGCCTTAGTTAAATGTTTCTATGATGCATTCTGCTTATCTAGTTAAATGATTGATTTCTATTCTTATTGTAGTTTAGCCAGTGTGAAACCTAGTGCTTTGATTTCTAGAGTCTTGAACCTTGAATTTGATTGGTTTCACTATGCTGTATTTACATCGTGGTTTCTTGATATCCAAAATTTTGCTTTTGCCTTAGTTAAATGTTTCTATGATGCATTCTGCTTATCTAGTTAAATGATTGATTTCTATTCTTATTGTAGTTTAGCCAGTGTGAAACCTAGTGCTTTGATTTCTAGAGTCTTGAACCTTGAATTTGATTGGTTTCACTATGCTGTATTTACATCGTGGTTTCTTGATATCCAAAATTTTGCTTTTGCCTTAGTTAAATGTTTCTATGATGCATTCTGCTTATCTAGTTAAATGATTGATTTCTATTCTTATTGTAGTTTAGCCAGTGTGAAACCTAGTGCTTTGATTTCTAGAGTCTTGAACCTTGAATTTGATTGGTTTCACTATGCTGTATTTACATCGTGGTTTCTTGATATCCAAAATTTTGCTTTTGCCTTAGTTAAATGTTTCTATGATGCATTCTGCTTATCTAGTTAAATGATTGATTTCTATTCTTATTGTAGTTTAGCCAGTGTGAAACCTAGTGCTTTGATTTCTAGAGTCTTGAACCTTGAATTTGATTGGTTTCACTATGCTGTATTTACATCGTGGTTTCTTGATATCCAAAATTTTGCTTTTGCCTTAGTTAAATGTTTCTATGATGCATTCTGCTTATCTAGTTAAATGATTGATTTCTATTCTTATTGTAGTTTAGCCAGTGTGAAACCTAGTGCTTTGATTTCTAGAGTCTTGAACCTTGAATTTGATTGGTTTCACTATGCTGTATTTACATCGTGGTTTCTTGATATCCAAAATTTTGCTTTTGCCTTAGTTAAATGTTTCTATGATGCATTCTGCTTATCTAGTTAAATGATTGATTTCTATTCTTATTGTAGTTTAGCCAGTGTGAAACCTAGTGCTTTGATTTCTAGAGTCTTGAACCTTGAATTTGATTGGTTTCACTATGCTGTATTTACATCGTGGTTTCTTGATATCCAAAATTTTGCTTTTGCCTTAGTTAAATGTTTCTATGATGCATTCTGCTTATCTAGTTAAATGATTGATTTCTATTCTTATTGTAGTTTAGCCAGTGTGAAACCTAGTGCTTTGATTTCTAGAGTCTTGAACCTTGAATTTGATTGGTTTCACTATGCTGTATTTACATCGTGGTTTCTTGATATCCAAAATTTTGCTTTTGCCTTAGTTAAATGTTTCTATGATGCATTCTGCTTATCTAGTTAAATGATTGATTTCTATTCTTATTGTAGTTTAGCCAGTGTGAAACCTAGTGCTTTGATTTCTAGAGTCTTGAACCTTGAATTTGATTGGTTTCACTATGCTGTATTTACATCGTGGTTTCTTGATATCCAAAATTTTGCTTTTGCCTTAGTTAAATGTTTCTATGATGCATTCTGCTTATCTAGTTAAATGATTGATTTCTATTCTTATTGTAGTTTAGCCAGTGTGAAACCTAGTGCTTTGATTTCTAGAGTCTTGAACCTTGAATTTGATTGGTTTCACTATGCTGTATTTACATCGTGGTTTCTTGATATCCAAAATTTTGCTTTTGCCTTAGTTAAATGTTTCTATGATGCATTCTGCTTATCTAGTTAAATGATTGATTTCTATTCTTATTGTAGTTTAGCCAGTGTGAAACCTAGTGCTTTGATTTCTAGAGTCTTGAACCTTGAATTTGATTGGTTTCACTATGCTGTATTTACATCGTGGTTTCTTGATATCCAAAATTTTGCTTTTGCCTTAGTTAAATGTTTCTATGATGCATTCTGCTTATCTAGTTAAATGATTGATTTCTATTCTTATTGTAGTTTAGCCAGTGTGAAACCTAGTGCTTTGATTTCTAGAGTCTTGAACCTTGAATTTGATTGGTTTCACTATGCTGTATTTACATCGTGGTTTCTTGATATCCAAAATTTTGCTTTTGCCTTAGTTAAATGTTTCTATGATGCATTCTGCTTATCTAGTTAAATGATTGATTTCTATTCTTATTGTAGTTTAGCCAGTGTGAAACCTAGTGCTTTGATTTCTAGAGTCTTGAACCTTGAATTTGATTGGTTTCACTATGCTGTATTTACATCGTGGTTTCTTGATATCCAAAATTTTGCTTTTGCCTTAGTTAAATGTTTCTATGATGCATTCTGCTTATCTAGTTAAATGATTGATTTCTATTCTTATTGTAGTTTAGCCAGTGTGAAACCTAGTGCTTTGATTTCTAGAGTCTTGAACCTTGAATTTGATTGGTTTCACTATGCTGTATTTACATCGTGGTTTCTTGATATCCAAAATTTTGCTTTTGCCTTAGTTAAATGTTTCTATGATGCATTCTGCTTATCTAGTTAAATGATTGATTTCTATTCTTATTGTAGTTTAGCCAGTGTGAAACCTAGTGCTTTGATTTCTAGAGTCTTGAACCTTGAATTTGATTGGTTTCACTATGCTGTATTTACATCGTGGTTTCTTGATATCCAAAATTTTGCTTTTGCCTTAGTTAAATGTTTCTATGATGCATTCTGCTTATCTAGTTAAATGATTGATTTCTATTCTTATTGTAGTTTAGCCAGTGTGAAACCTAGTGCTTTGATTTCTAGAGTCTTGAACCTTGAATTTGATTGGTTTCACTATGCTGTATTTACATCGTGGTTTCTTGATATCCAAAATTTTGCTTTTGCCTTAGTTAAATGTTTCTATGATGCATTCTGCTTATCTAGTTAAATGATTGATTTCTATTCTTATTGTAGTTTAGCCAGTGTGAAACCTAGTGCTTTG